AGTCCTGGAGGCAGCTCAGCTCCCCCGTGTGCCCGCTGCCATTTCTCTGGGCATCAAAACCAAAACTGCAACCTCCCTCCCGGCAGTTCTGCAGCAGCTGCTCTGTGGGCAGAACCCACCTCTCTGCTCCCTGCAGCCGCCCTGCTCCAGCCGTGCCCTCACCTGCTGTGCCAGGCACACGCGGGTCCCACACAGGCCAGGGCATCGCAGACCCGGTCCCTGTCCCCAGGCACAGGCAACCCCCAGCCTCAGCCAAGGGAAACAAAAGATAATGTAACACACCAGCAGCTGGACTGAACAGTGACAGCTTTGAAAATATCTTTTCCAAATAAACTTCCTGCATTCCCAGAAACACGGGCCATGTGATGACCTACACAATTCCATCCACTTGTGAAGAGACAGTCAGTGAAGTCTTGGCACCGACACAGACTTACCTGCTTCTGGGTAACACCTGGGAGCCGTTCTAACTGTTTAATGCTTATTCATCACTGCAGCTGATGTGGTAACCACAGCTGTGACTCGGCAGCAGGACTCTGGCCAGCTTGAAGGGAGTTATCCAGGACTCTCTATCCCCCAAGATATCCAGGCCTCTCCCACAGCACGTTCCTGAAAGCGGGGAGTGTTTCTGTCATTTGTGCAATGCCTGGCGCGCTGGGGACTTGGCCTGGTGCTCGAGATCTCAAGACAAGGGCACGGCATCGCAGAACCCTCAGCCATTTGCACTGCAGTACAGAAACACCGCGCGTGTGCAGAGCAAAGGTGGCTAAAGTCAAACCACGCTCCTCCCAGAACATTCTCACTAACCTCTTATTCCTAACCTGCCACCTGCTCACTACCTTTGATGACACCCAGGTTTTGTACCAAAAAAGCCCTTATTCACCTCTTCTGTCCTCTCAGGCTTTCACGGACCTGCACCACTGCCCTTCCAGGCTGGTGATTTCCCAGCCACATAACTACTCCTCCAGAAGTCTTCCCATAACTTTGATTATTCTTGTCATCCTTCCTGAGTCCTTTTTTAGGTGTAACTCCAGCCAGGCACTAGGCATCATCTGCAAAGATCCAGGAGGGGCAGCGGACAAACAGAACAGCGTGTCATACCTACAGCCACATCCTCCTGGGATCTCCAAGAGCCTGAGGGTGCCCAGCAGGGCCCACTACCTGCAAGACACTGATGTGGAAGCAGCTGTGATAGTGGTGGAGGAGCTGTACAGCAACTTCAACACCTCTCCACTTACACAGGAGCAGAGAATGTCAAAGTTAATTCCAGTAACAGTACCTCCAGTTTTCTGCAGGGAACCTAGAAGGAGCTCTGCAAGATTCTACTGCACAATGACCCAATCCCAAGGTAGAAACAAAGCTCACCCCACTTCCCCAGCCTGTACACCCCCACCAAAGAGAACCTGATGGATGCTGATTACTGCCAGCACACTTGGCTGTTACTCAGCAGCAATCACATCCTCCCTGCAGCCAGGAAATTAACACACAGAGTTAATTTCAAAGCCCAGAACAAGAAATAAACAAGAGTCAATTCCAACTTCCACATCAGCCTTTTCCCCAAGCAACACAGAGAGATATCCTACAGCAGAAACCCCAGATGCTAAACATGCCCAGGAACAGCAAATCTAGTTACCAAGAGAAGAGTCAAAGGCTTCACCAACATTCACACCTGGAGACCACTTCCTGCACAGTCATCTGCTGTCCTAGTAATCGCCTTCCAAGAAGGAAAAGTCCATCTCTGACAAAAAGATATGGTGTTAATCCATTGTTATCTGACAGATTTGTTCAGGGCTTTTTTTAAAAAAATTGAAAGTTATTTTTTCTCCATAATATGGATCATTTGAAAAAAAAAAAAAAAGTGTGACTATTTATGCCAAATTTAATTTTATTTATTTATTTTACAAACAAAAATATACATTTATTCTATATTTTCTCTTTGCATCCCCCCACACACATAACACACTTCTGCTCAAGGACCATTTTGAATATGGCCCAGAGTATTATATATACACAAAAATACAACAGGAAGAAGGTCAGTCCATGACCTAGCGCAGTAGCTCCTCAGCAGCAGAACATGGGACGCTCCAGAAATACCGGAGCCCTGCCAGCAAAGGACAGGATGGACATGTCGACCACCTGCACCAGTGATCCTTCAGCACTGAATTCAGCTGATAAAAAGGCAAATTCATAACCTGCTCTTCACATCACCAAGGAGGGCAGAGAAATCCTCTCAGTCAGAGTGTTGAGAGTCAGCAAATACTCCTTGGGATGGAAAAGCAGTTCCTCCTTTATTTCTCAACTGCTTTAAAACCTTCACATCTCTTAGCTTTGTCCAATGCCCACCAACTCCAGGGCAGCTTTGCAGGTTTCCCCACCCATTCTAACAGCAGCTCGGGATCAGGATCAGGGTTGTGAGCAGCACTAGAAGCACAAGCAGGGCAATTCAGGCCCCACGTCATCCATCCCTTTTAGAGTGAGCAAGCGAGCGAGCGTGGCTCAGGCGATTCACAGCAAGTGACGGAAGGAGCATGGACACTTCTCTGATGTGGGATGGGCTGACTTGGCCAGTGGCTTGTTCAGCCCTTAAACAGTCATTGCACAGAGGGGAAATGTGAAAGGCTGCTGACCTACACAAGACAACTTTGCTCTCACACACAGACAAACAGAAGCTTTCTCCTCAAAAGTGAATAAAAAAAAAAAAGGGGGGGGATTTGTTTGTTTTCAAGGTGCCAGTGCTACTTAGAGGCCTGCAGGGTAAAGTCCACAGGCAGAACTGAGAGGCTGCATTGCTCATTAACAAGAAAAGATAAGGAAAGGGCCTGCATAGTTTTGGCAACCAATGTGAACTTCGTGTTCTTACCCAAACTTTCTTTCCCTAAACACCTGGTAGCAAACGCTTTCCCCTACACACTCATGAACCAGACTAACAACCTCCACACTGCACCCTGCATGGTGATTTCACAAAAACTCTTACCTCAATATTCTTCAGGAACAGCAGTGTGTTGGGGCAAGAGATTCACACGGTCCCCAAACATTCCAAATTCCCTCTTTCTACCATCTCTAATGGAAAGCTGCTATTGCTTGTAGCAGATGTCCACCTACCTGGAGGACTCAGGTAAGAAAGCATCCCCAAAGCTAGAGGAATACACCTCTTCATCCTTTGGAGAGCACAGTACGTCCCAGAAACCAGACTGATGGCAGCTTTCAGCTGCACAGTCCCTGGATTGGAACACGATGTCTTGAAACTGCATGCCAGACAGCTCAGACAACAGTAGTTCCTTTTCCAGCATGGAAGAGGTTAATAAGTAGTTCCAGAGTGTCTTTAAACGAACCATGATCCACATGCACGTAAGTATTTTCAACATATCGAGCCACAAAACCTATTCAGAGCAGCAGAAGTCTGGGGATCTGAACTGCATTGTAAGAGAAGGACACTGACAGAGAAACACATCCATCTCCCACTTGCCTCACAACTTAGAACACCAGCCAGCTTGATTCTCACACACTTATGGTGTTTCAGTTTCCAGTCACTAAACACTGAGAGCTCAGACTCATCACTGCCTTCTGCTCTGCCTCAAGCACCTGAACATCTCTGGAGCCTTCATCTGCAGAGTCAGCTTCCTCCTTCATAGCACTCTCAAAGACCCTACCAGAGCCACAAAACCAGGGTGCAGATGGAAAATGCACCCACCTCGCAGGTTTTATTCTTGAAACTCAGCCCTGATTCAGTGTTGCTACTTAGATTTTCCTGTGAGCTCAGATGCACAGTAGTACAGCCGCCATAAACTGATCCACAGCTGCTTCAGCTCAGCTGGACAGCAGCACTGTCCATCCTTCTGTCTCTCTGTTGTTCAGTCAGTTCACATCCATGCTGCTAGCTACTGGCCCCCCAAATGTTCCCAGGGCACGAAGAACAATTCATCCCTCTTCATATCTCTCTCCTCCTTCCCACACACTCAGAACACTCCTTTTAACCCCTAGCAACTGCAATTTATTATTTTCAACAGTATCAGCTGAAACCAGAGATGAGCCCAGCTGACCAGCTTCCCTCTTCAGACACTGCTATCACCACCTGTGCTGCTGCATTATGACAAGACACAGGAAACCATGCTGCTTGAAAAAGCCCAGGAAGACCATCTTTGGTTTCAACCATCAAACTCTTTCTATATATATATACACAACAATACAGCAATCAAATCAACACCCTCATCCCTAAGTGCCATTCCCCCAGTTGGCAGACAAGTGCTTTCAGTCATTGAAAAGGAAGAGGTGCCAGTGAGGTCTGTCTTCTGGGTCATATTCACATCTGGAACACAGAAGATCAGAAAGGTTCATTGTTTATAGATTTATGAACAAAACTGTTCTACATTGTTCTCAGGTAGCGACAGAAAAATGTTCTTTCCAACAGGATTTGGGCTGTCAACTTAGTTCCACAACAGGTTTTGGAAATCTTGCGGAAGAGAGAAAAGCCAAGGACAGATTTCCAATGGACATCCTAACAGCTGTGGTATCAGGGAGTCTGGAAGGAAAGGAATGAGGCATCACAGGTAGCCCTGCCTCAGGCATTGATGGCCTTCCAGCGGTCACTGTCTATGCTGTTGATGCTGCCCACATGATACGGCATAGAGGCCACGTCGTCCAGGTAGGCTGTGGTGTCAATCTGAGTGCTAGAGTAGAACCCAGAATCCATTCCTTCCTTCTTGGCAACAGCATAAGGGTGGGGTAGGTGCACATCCACATCCTCAGGTTCATCCACCTGACATTTGTAGGAGAAAAGGATCTTCGGTTCAGACCTGGAGTGATTAAAGATTTAAAATACGTGCTTAAGCAATGTAGTAGCACAGCCACTCATCCTCAACTGAAACTCAGTAGCACTAAGAAATTGTGTATTCACACTGTAACGACTTTTCACAGTAGCTTTCAGTCCTGAAATATACCTAGCAGAGTAACTGCCATGAAGTAATGTGAAATGTAGCTTTGGACTAAGTCACTTAAATAAAAATGACAGAATCCTGACTCTAGTGTGGGAAAGGTGTTCTCATCTTTGGGAGTTCTGAATTACTGATGGCAACAGCATCCAAACTGCTGGACTCCACAGTCGCCTGGTTACTGACACCAACAGAACAGGCATATGCTTCAGGTTCCATCTGTGCACATCAGGAAAACCAGAATACAAACACTTGTGGATCAGCAGTTTACACCTCTTAACTCCACTGTTCCCTTCTGATGTCAGAAGGCAGCAGAGGCACACTTGGATATTTCAGGAGTACTTTCTGTTCTCAGCTATTTTAAAGCCTGCTGTTTCTTGCTTATGAACAACAAAAGCTAAAGCCTCCACTAAAACACCCGCTTTTCCTACCGACCTGCAATTCCCCGAGTGGCCACACGGCGGCAACCCCGACCCAGGAATCACCCTGGCAGGAGCTTCAACTGGTGACTCCAGGGCCCACTGCAGAGGAGTCCTCAGCCAGAGAGCTACCTAACCCCTAGATCCTCTCCACAAACCCATCCCAAACTCAGCCCAGGGGAACATTTCACCTCCCAGGACTCAGTCTCTCATTAACCACTTAGTTAACGACTTCAGTGGAAAAACTCTGTACTAAAACAGGATGCAGACACAGAAGAAGTGATCCTCATGAATGTTTGAGAGGATTAGAGCTATCAGCTCTGCTTTGCATACAAAGGAGTCTTGGATAGAAGTGAGCAGCCCTGGGTCACACAAGAAAAACTGCAAGGCCAGAAATTAAAAACTGGTTCCCTAACTGGCAATCTAGTCACTGCCTTTATTCTACAGATGAGGATCTGAGTGCAAAACAATTAAATGACAATATATACCCTCTAAACTCCTGCTCCTGGTTACTCACCCAAAGAAGCCTTTCAGGAACGCCACATAGATCAGAGGTGCAAAGAAGCTGAAGTAAAGGAACGTGGTAGCATCAACACAGCTGTCAATGGCAAAAGAGAACATGAAGGAATACCAGGCACATCCACCAAGAATGACCCAATTTCCCTCCAGAGAGTCCAAGGAGAGGACAAGAGAAGTCTGAACAAATTAAAACTGCTGCAAAGTAACAGACATTGCCATCAACATGTGTCACTGCTTCTAGACACCCAGAAGGAACCAGGCCAAGACCCAAGGTCTGACCAAGAGCACAGTGTCAGTGCTCCCAATTGTGACTCACAGAAGTGACATTGATCCCTGCAGAAGGAGATTCCAGATGTGAATCAGGCCACCTCCGTGCTATTTCTAACAAACATGACTGTTTCTTCCCTTATTACCTATGAAACATGAGCCAGTGGTCAGGCATCAGTGGATTCAAACTATTACTTTCCCTCACCACTTCAAGAACACGATGCAGCTCCACAGCCCTCTCCACTGTGTTTCCTGACCACTTAGAGGTCTTTTGGCACAAAACAGAACCAACAGCTTTATACCTTCTTAGGAACACAGCACAAGTTTCTTTTCTTGGAGAGGCAGCACTGAAGGACACTCAAATGCAACACAAGAAACTGGGCTGCAGACCTCCTCCCCCAGCATACGTACCACAGTCCTTCTATGATATCCACACAGAGGAGGGCACTGCCCAGGCCCTGAACCAGGTTAGGATTCCAGCATAAACATAAAAACTTTTCCTGGCTGTGGGAAAGACATGGACACAGATGAAGCTCAACCTCATAAGCATCAGCCCAGTGCAAATCTGTTTGATAGGGATGGCAAACCCAATCGAAGCATCTCACTATCTTTTCAGTTTAAGAACTCCTGAAGAATTAAGACTGCATTCTCCTGTCCCATGCTGCCAGGCTGACAGGAGGTATAGTGGGCCAAACCATACCCCTCCTGCACATGTGTGCACATACAAGATGTATTTTGAAAACACATGGTCATGGCAACACACGCAGAAGTTTTATGGGCAAGCATCTAGAACCAGTGTCAGTCACACAACTGAAGGTAAGAAAAACAAACACAAACCCCACCAGAAGCTGAACCAGAAGCTGGGCCCTTCTGATGGACAGCACTAACAAAACTGCTCAGGAGGCCTGGACAGGAGCAGCAGGGTAGGCTGCTGTGTATGTCCTATGCAGATCAGGCCCAGGACCACCTGCCTGTGGCATGGGCCACCCATGTCTGGTCCCTCAGGGTAAGCACACAGACACCAATGCTACTTAGAGAGAGAGAACAACCCAATGCAAACATTTAGTAACAGCTTCTCTCCCTAACCAAGAACTGCAGATATTCTGCAACAAAAACTAGAGAAGCATCTTAATAAAGTAAATGACCAGATAAAAATTATTCAGCAGCTCCCAATTAGCCTCCCTTTCCCAGGGGATGACCAGCATGTACACTCTAACATCATACACACATTTCAAAGGAAGCTATTATTAAAGAGCCATTTCTTACAGCTCTCTGAAGATTATATATTTACATTACATCTGTATCATTAGCTCAGCAGTAAATCTTATTTTCTTAATGTAATTGTTTAAGTACTGAACTAGCAATGCAATTGCTCTTGCTCTGCTCTCCAAAAGGCACACACAGTGTTTTCCAGGATAACTTATCAGTCCTTTGCCATGCATCTGTATGCCAAGATAGTGGGATGTATCTGCAGCACAACCAGATACATGAACCTCTTACTCCCACCTATGTTTTAACCTGGCACACTCTCTCCACCTATGCTATACAACACACTACAGTCACTTACAGGGCAAAGAAATCCGGTCTTTCAGAGGAGTTTTTGGAAGAATCACCACCAAGGAATAGACCTGTTGAGACAAAGAACTAACTGTACCACGGCTGCTTGGGAATTGAGTTCAACAATCCTTGCAGAGATGGTGTGTGGTGTCACACACTCCCCAGACATCTCAGGACAGGGGCACAGACCCCTGATATTAAACCTAGCGCAGATGTGAAGGCCCTACACCTCACTCCCATCAGCACACAAAGGCTGGTGACTGAGAAACAAGGAAGTGAAGAACATCTGAGTTCAGCTGGAATTCAACTGCCACAGCTTACACCACTCCCAGCACAGCTTTATTGCTTCAGCTTCCCTGCCCCTTCAGGAGCATCAACACTGCGCTGTATCAGGCAGGAGGGGGACTGCAGCATTACTACACACAAATCACCCTCCTTGGCCAATTTAGAAAATACAAAGAAGCTATCAGAGTGCTTAACACATGCCCAGTACTTACCAGAAAGAAGAAACAGGAGCTGGCAAGCCAAAAGTGTCTCCCTCCATGGCCATAAATATTGAAGTCTTCTGCTGAGAGGTGGGCATCGGGGTACAGGATTTCCAGGGTACCCTAGAAGAGAAGCGGCACCAACAGGATTCTGTTATAGTCAGTGTCCTGGCCAGAGCGAGTGTCTGGACAAAGGAGACTCATGTTCAATAAGAAGTTCAGAGAGCAGCTGTCCCAACCATTGCTCTGCTAGACCCAGTTAAGCTCACAGAGGAGACAAGGAAGAAATTGAAGTCAAAACATGAGGGGAAAAAGTGTCAGGAATCTGCATCTGAAGGAAGCTGGCATCCACGACATTTCAGAAGAGAGACTGAATGAAGGGATGGGGGCTGCAAGCAGTTGTCTGTCTGAAATATAGTTCCATTTTCATCTCTAAAGTAGATCTTT